TGTACACCAGGGCAGAAAAAGTTGAAATAAACTATCAAAATAATAGGAACACTTATTTTTCATAGAATTCACATTTTGCTGATCTCAGAATAGGATTAAAGCTCTAACCATGCTCAAATATTCAGAAAATAGCAAGTGATCCAATTTAGAAAACTATTTATTAATGAGGTTCTGTTTCTACTATAAAACGCATTTAGAAAAGTACCAATGCTAATGAAGTACCAATAGAATGGCTAAAGATATTGGTTGTGAAATTTAAAAATGCAGAGATCAACAAGAATAAAACATTAAATTCAACATAAGATCTGCAAAATAAGTCCTGTAAAATGTTATGTTGTGCAGAACTCCTCGTTTTTACACAAGGTATCAATTGATAGTGCCCTTGTCAACCATTTTTGTTCAGATCCTAAGTCCCACACCTACTTGTCAAAAGCCATGCCTCATATAGAGAGGCAATAAACTTCTTCAATAGAAGAAGACTTAAGAAAACTAAACTTAGAACGCAATATGATTCAACATGTTGAGGATGCAGAAGGCCATACTTTAAATAGAAATGACAAACATTACAGTTTCTAGGACCTAAAAAAATACTGAAATTACATACCCATTCACCAGGGCAAAGAGAACGGTAAAACTTTGAAAATTTGTCACACTCTGGAGCACCTTCCCCCTTTGCAGCCACGCACCTGAAAATAGTTGGAATAGAATAGTGAAGACATTGTCGAAAACCTCAGCACCAAGATAGGATGTAAGTGATAAAGTAAAGGGAGCTCAAAGAACAGATGGGAGCGTTCGGGGGTGGGTGGGACACTGTATACTTACCGATGATACTCTACATATCGGGTAAAGCAATGCCTTGTCTGATTTGTTGTTGGGAAACGGAAATCTGCAGGTGCTGTCTCAATCTGGACACAAAAATAGAATGTTAGTGAATAGATCGAACAAATAAAGATAAAAAGATATAACACAGTATGCACTAAAATAAAGAACAAAAAGAAATCATTGATAATTTTATAGGCAGATTAACCTTAATTGCAGGTGTCTCTTCAGCTGCCTCTTGATCACCTGAGTTTTCAGTACTATCACTGCTTTCTTCAGCAGCTGCTTCAGTGGCAGGATTGGTTTCTGTGGCTTCTATGCCAGCAGCAGCAGGACTGGCTTCATTGCTTTCTTCGCCAGCTGGTGTAACTTCTGAGCTTTCTTCCGCAGCAGCAGGTGTTTCCTCAGGTTTCTCAGGGACAACTTCAGTCGCTGGATTCTCAACCACTTTTACTTCGACAGGTTTGGTAGCTACATCTGGTTTCTCCAATGAGTATTCCTGTACGTGAAAGTATGAGGGAAAACACTTTAACCATTATTATCTTGTGTCATTAAAAGAAAGGACTAACTATGGAGTGCATATAATGAAGCATGTAATGACTGGAATCGTTCTATCATTCTCCAGAAAACAGCCACAGGGCACAGCAACCAGCAGGATGCAATAATTTTTGGTGTTAACAACTAGGTTGTGGATTAATTTTTTCAGCTTAATACAACTCGGTAGGTGGCGTGTCTGGGAAAGGGAAAAGGGGAAAGGGGTGAGCACTCTCAGCAACATCACACTCAGTTAGGAGCATGTCGTGCAAGGTGATGTTTTTCCATCCAGGATACCCACATAAACTGTTTACTTATTTAATAGCCCAGTGTGTCATGCCTAATTGATTGACTGGCCTAAAAAATATCCTACTAAAACAATTGACTTGTTAAAGGGTTTTACAACGTAACATATTCAAAATAAATTGAAATGCATATCATAGATAGGTAATCAAAGCATAACATTTGTCCATAAGAACATCCAGTCGAGTTCAAAACAGCAACTATGTGCCAACAACGCAGCCCGCGACCTTTGATCAAATTTTCAAGTAATTCTGCATAACTTTAAATTAAATCAACAAGAAATGATACTTTATTTTTTTTAAATATATATTTTAAAAAAAACTTTTTTCGGCACAACTAATCATCCTAAAATGACAAACTCGAACAAGAGCGCAGAAATTAAAAACAAATAAATAGTATATTCAATAGATAGAATTCACTGACAGCTTATTAAACCAGAAACTAGATCCATAATTGGGTGCAGAATTTCAAAACTTTTTTCACTTTAAATGAAGTATTTGTGATAGCATCTAGATTCTAGATCGAACTAAATCGGTGACCACTGCCATCAACGAAATTGTAACATTTCGATACATAAAGAAGATGATCGGAATGTTACCTCAGCTAGGGTTTGGGTTTTGTCGCCTTGCGCCTCCGCCATTGATGGAATGCGATCTACCTCAGCTGCTCTCGCGTATTATCCTAGGCCGCCAAGCGCAGAGACAGAGAGAGAAAGAGACAGAGAGAGGGAGAGAAATGTGTGGATGGTTAGGTCTACCGTCTAGAAGCTGAGAATTTTAACTGAGTTACTGCTGTGGTAAAAGTAAAAAATTATACTGATAATAAGTTGATGATTGGAGTTCAGCCACCCGTCGGGTTTTTTAGTTAGACCGGTGCTTGGGGCTGGCCGGTTTAGGGCTTCCAATTGTTGATGCTACTAATTTGGGTTGGGCTATTGACCCAAAAATAAGATAAAATAGGGTTGGGCTCATACACAACAGTTGGTCACGGAATTTGTTCATTTTTTTGGTCCTATGTGTGTGTTCTTCGATCAAGGAATGCTGTGGAGGAGCTAGCTTCCATTTCTTCGGGACCAAAAATGTAAACCTATCATTTGGGGAGCCAACAACGCATGTTTATTACTTGGGGGACAACAATGTAGGTTTTCCAATATTTTCCCACCAATTTACATAAGTTTAATATAAATTTTACATCAAATGTTGGAGTGTGGGGGAGTCACGGGCACTTCATGTTGAAGTGGGACTCAGTCCTTTAAACGGGTAATGGGGATTCGAACTTAGATCTCTTTAAACATCAGAAAGAGTGATATTACTAGATTAAGAGTTAATTGATAAGTATAATTTGAAATGTTAACTTAAATAGAAAGAGTGATGTAACTAATGATTGACTAGTAATGTATACACAGTAACACAGCCTACAATTCAAATACAATTTCAAACAGACTTCCTAAGGTATGTTGAGATGTGTGGTAAATTAGAAAATGACTTTCTAGCTAAAGGAGTCACCTCCGTACCAAACTTAGACCAGTAGTCACACTAAACACAATTATTTGACGTGTACAATGTACTTAGAGAAGAGGAATCAGTCTTTTGATTAAGGTTCCATTTTAGAACTTTGGCAGCTACAAAGGTATAACAAATTGAAATTAAATATTCAAAAAATTACACAACTTTTTTTTATTTATTTATTTTTAATGGACAAAGTGACATCTTTTGATAAGGAGATTCATATTGTCTACACATATGATTAGATGTTGGTTCTCTCCTCCTCCCTATTGACTCGAGCTCTATTTGGAGATAAAGATTGATTTTAGTTAAAGCTCAAAGGGCAATTGAGCTATAAAAAGATCCTTGAGATTTTGAGTATTATATGAAATTAGAATAGTTCTGCATGCGTATGAATAGAGATCAATTATCGACTCTTAAAGTATTTTGATAAGTGAGTGATTGTTAACTATTTTGACGTTTAGCGTATATATAGGAACCCAAGCACATTGTAATGAAAAAACAAAGGAAAAACGAAATGAAAGAAAAAGATAAGGATTGAGAGAGATCAATGATCAAGTACCCCCCATTTCATTATTGATTGGTACAACTTTTTACTCCTTTACCGTACAAATTGCATGATTGAAAAAGTGGTAACGGGCAAGAACACCCTTACCAAGTAAAGAGCTTTAGATTTTGTTTGACCATAATAGTTCGTAGCTACTTGCACAAGAAGAACATGTTTAAAAATAGTTACTTGAAATCATAAAACAAACCCAACAAGCCTCTATGCATGCAAAAAGACCATGAGTTATACAAATCCTATATGAATGATCAAATTCCTCAGCTTTATAGAAGGCAATGAGGTGTAAAATTCTGCAACCAACAACAACCAATGTCTTTATGTATTTGATTTCACGTATTTTAAGGAGGTTTGCTATCTGTTTATATCCCCAGACAAAGAGAAAATGGGAATTTTCAGGCAGATTGATAGGGTGGTGGGCTAAGATTTTGGGACATGGGCTAGTGTGAGAACACAGCAGAGGTTGTGCTGCTTTTTCAGCCTTTGTTTTTTCTGGGGAAGTTAAGAAAGGATGAGGATGAGAGACCAAACTTATTAAGGTAATTGAATTTTGACCAGATGAGAAAGTTCCAATTCCAGAAGAGCCAACATTATTATTTGAGTTGGAAAATACCCAACAGCATTAAATTCATATAAATATAAACATGGAAATAGAGCCATGTGGTTAATCTTTACCAAACAACCTGCAGTTGTTGTTTTGTTGGTTCCCCTAATCAAACCGCTGCGTCCAAAAAAGGGATTATCTTGTACATGGAAATTATAATAATAGCATTTAAACCCTTCCTAATCTGGTTTTGGGTATGAGACTTGGAGTTTTTGACTGTGGAAACTTGATTCATGATCACCTTAAAAAGTAGAGTGACACATTAGAGAAATGAGAAATCGAACAGCGATCTTGTACGCAAGGATGAATGCTCTTGGGCTACATGCATAACACGTACAGTAACAGGATTTTATTTAGAATGAAAATTTGTTTGCATGAACAGTGAGAGTGAGATATAGGAAAGGTGGGATTCGACAGAGATTAAGTAAAAGATTAGTGAGAGATTAGAAAGAGAGAGGGAGAGATGCGTGGCTTGTATTACGGGTCATGTCCCTTCTATTCTTTTAAGTGAAGAAAAAGAGACCAAAGAGACAAAGACACATCGGTTCTTTTGTGTTCTGGATTTGGGACCCTATAATATCTTTTATTTTTTTAAGTTTCTAAATTTAACCTCCAAAAAAGAAAATAAATTTAATTCCATATTTTAAAATTTTATAAAATATAAATATACATGGTCCAGTCTTGTCCCTACTCGCCGACTATCAGAGGAAGAAGATTATCTCCCATTTCCCCATTTCCTCACCACACACAGAAAAAACACTCAGACAACAACTCAAACCCGTTCAATCTACCGGGAGATAATTCAGATCTCCCACAGAGAAGAGAGAGAGAGGAGAGAGAGAGAGTGAGAGAGAGTCTGTCTGTCTGTCTGTCTGTCTGTCTGTTTGTATGTGATTTTGTGTTGTTGTTTGTTATGGATAAAAGCTGTCCATCTTCAACCTCTGACTCTGCTCTCACTTCTGCTACTACCAGCAGTGGTGGTGGCAGCAGCAGCTCCACCAGAGACAGCTACCTCAAACACCTCAACAAGCTTTCTCACAAGATCTCAAAACCCACAACCTCAAACAACAACAACAACTTCCTTAAAAAACCCAACTTTGAAAACCCAACACCTCCTCCTCCTCCTGTTCCTCTTCCTCCACAACCTCAACAGCAACAACAGCAACAGCAACATCAGCCTCCGGTGTACAACATCAACAAAAACGACTTCCGCGACGTCGTTCAGAAGCTCACCGGCTCCCCCGCCCACCACGACCGCTTCTCCAACCCGCAGCCGCCGGCGGTCCACCCGCCCAAGCCCCAAATTAGCTCCCGGCTCCAGCGCATCCGCCCTCCCCCCCTCGCTCACGTTAGCAACCGCCCCCCTCCCTCGCTAGAATGCGCCGCCCCGCCCACCAACCCCAACGCCATCAACAACTCCATCATTCCACCCATGGGTTCCGCCGCCGCTCACTTCAACTCCATTGGACGGTCCACAACCCCGCTCTCGCCTCTCCCTCCTTTCCCAACCGTACACGCGGCGGCCGAGTCCCCCGTCTCCGCCTACATGCGGTACCTCCACAACTCAATCTCAGCCGTCGATGCTAACAAAAACCAGGCTTTCTCGGGATTCTCGCCGCTGGCCCCACTCGTGTCGCCGCGCTGGACCAATCAGACGCCGCAGCAGGGGATGCTTTCCTCGGCGAGTCAGCAACAAGCGCCGGCGACGGCTATAGCGTCACAGCCGCAGTTCACTCTGCCTCCGTCACCGCTTCCGTTTGGGTGCTTGAATTCGCCTCGGTCGCCGTACCCTTTGATGTCCCCAAATCAATTAGGGTTTCCTCAGCTTCCGCTCTCGCCGACAGTGCCTGTTCCAAGCCCTAGATGGAGAGGTTTCTAAACGTTTCTTCAGGTAAGTCGAGCTCTAAACGCTGTCGTTTTAGGGTTTAGGGGTTTTTTTATATATATATTTATTTTATAAAAAAGACAAGAACTTTGTACATTCTGGGTTGAGGGGCTTATTCAATCACCGGTGGGTGGACGGAAAATGGTTCACTGCCGGTTTAAATTAGGTTTTCTTTGTTTTGTAAATGGGATATATGAGAATGAGAGACATGTAGGTTTGTTCTTTGTCTGGTATTGGATATTTGGGGGTTAATCAAAGGGTTAAAAATGTTATATATACAGAATTTGTGTTGCTAAAGGATGCTTTGTAGTTTTTTTTGGAGTTACTTATCTCAGTTTGTGAACATTTTCTATGAACTGAAATTTCTATATGTGTGTTTGCTAATTGGATGGATGGTATAACATGTCTAGCGAGTGGGGTAGTTGAGCTCTTCCATCTCCACTCATGTGGGCAGAAGTTCGAAATTCCGAGGCACCCCAATGAATATTTGTGTGTAAACCCCCCTTCCCAATCGCATGTACTGAAAAAAAAAAAACATGTCTGCGTCAATTTTGCTTGCCAATATTCAATAACCCAAATGGTAAAAAGAGTGGTCTTTGTTTTTATGCTCCCAAATTGAAGCAAGACGCCACAAATGAGATTGGTGCTAAGCTTACTGCATAGTATAGTTGATGTTGATCAAACTCCAAAAATGTTTTTGTATTCCACGTTCAAACAAAATTTGTTGCCTAATGTGGAAGAAATGCTTTTGCTTTGACCAGTTATGTGGATATTGATAAAAATGTTTTGGCTGGAAGCCTGGGGCCTTGAAATGCTGTTTTGAAGCGTTACTATGCTATGGTTTACCAGTGCCCATGGGTTATCAGATTTTTCTTATTAGGCTCTGTTTTTCTCATCATACTTACTATGCTATGGATTTGTTGGCTTCTGCATATACTAAGTGCCTTTAAATAGAAATTGTTATTGCCAATGGGTCTAGCCTAGAGGAAAAGAGCATTGTCTTGCATATTATTGGTCCTCAGGTTCAAACTCCCATTGCACAGTGGTATTGTGTGTGAGAAACCTTCCTTCCGCACATAGTTTAAACTATCGCTTGTACTAAAAAAAATATAGTTATTTTATTTTAAGCTCTTAGAAACTGCTAAGCTAAGAAGTTAAGTGAACTTAACAATATGAAGTTGTTGATGAATGGAAAAATTAATAGAATGCAAAAGGTAGATTGGTAGAGAAATTAGTGCAGCAAAAAGTTGTGTTTGGATTCTAGTGGGCTTGGCAGTGCAGAGAGGTGCGGAGAAGGAGATTGTCTTAGGAACAAATCTAGTGCCATGTCATGTTGATTAGGTCAAACAAGCCAATAATGAAAATGTAATCTGTGTGTAGACCCAAATAATTTATATTCAAAAGTTTGTGAACCCACATGAAGTAAGCAAATATGGAGTTTACTAGTAAATGGTGAGTCTTCCAGGCAATAATTATGTGCTCTCTCATTATTAGTTTGTTGTAAGGTCTTTGTTTATAGAGAAAGTTAACCATATCCAAGGCACCCAAATTCTTTGTTTTTAGGTTGTAAGGTTATCCTTTGTTTTCAGCCAAGTTGGTCAAACCCCACCACCAACTTGGTCAAACTCCTTATTTTTCTTGGTGTCACTTGAATCTTGCAGTGATGATATAGATAAAATTCAAATAACCAATCCTTTTTTAGGAGGGGTAGAGAAGAACTTAACCCTTCCTCCCATCACTTTTTCTAGATCTCAGTTTAGAATATTCAATGGATTAGAGGACTTCAAAAATCTTCTCTCTCCCTTGTTGTCCACTTGCCCTGGAACATCTGTAATGTAAACCAATGGTTTATTTTATTTCTCCACGGCAACAGATTTTGCAGCAGCATTTATTTCATTGCACTTAACGATGGGAACAAGTGTCCATGTTGTGTTTGAAGCTATCAAATTATGACATGATTTAACATCACACTTTTCAGAAAGATGATGATGAGATTCTAGGAATCTTATTCACATTTCTTGGATGTGGGTTAAAATTGGGTTCTGGATGCCCATGAAAGAGGCCATGGCAAGAGGTATGAACACCGGCAATTTTTGCTTTTCGTTACAAGTGATATTGGGGAGGGAAAATTTGACTTCAAATGCGTATGTAAATATTTTTAAGTACTTGAGTTATAAGTCTGTGCAATACCATCATTCTTCTGGTGTATTTATCTGTAGCTTCACAGTATGAGCAAATGCCCGTAGGTGTTAACTTGTTAATTTGTGATGAGCGACAAGTGATTTTGATTCTAGGGTACAAGACACACATCTTCGATGAGTTTAGGTTTGTGTGTGATTGTGAACTACCAACGTTATATTTTGAAACTAAAATCACACTGATTTTACGCGTACGCTTTTGATGACGCATGCACATATGCTTTGCAGAATGCTCCACAGTATTTTTATATCTATCTATCGGATATTTTTTTTCTTTTTTGATGGTGAAACTCCACTTCTATGCAAGCAAGTTCTCCATTCCATGTCTAAATCATGATGAACTTGGGCGGTTAGGTCACGATTGGACATTAAGTTAGGCATCAATCATGGCTTACTACAAGGTGTGGGCAAAAAAATTCTTGGTGATAACTCAACCAAGACGATCTCTCTGATGTTTTTCTTGTTTAATGCAATTAGGATATCTCTTTACACTCGTCAAATCACGTGTCGCAAATCTAGAAGTTTTCAACGTAAAAAACTGAAATGAAATTATCCAAAAACACACGTAGGTATCTCAACCATCTCACATTTTCCCCCTCATAAAAATCATTGTAATTGACATTTAGCTAATCCTTTATACTACTTTTCTAGTTGTCATTGTAGAGGGTAGAGAAAATGATAAAAAAAAAAAAAAAGGGGGGAAAAAGATACCCAAACAAAAATAGTTTGAGTGAGTAAAGATGTATTCTTAGAAGACTTTAGCAATTTGTTCGGGTGCACACAAATTGTCGAAATTATCAAGCAGGTGCCCAAAGACATAAGGATAGCCAGAGACAGAAACTGAGTGTAAACATAAAATAGCATGATGACAAGCACTGCACAGAGAAATTATTAAGCTAATAAATATTGAGCTTTATGCATGGTTTATAAAAGCTTTGGAGCAACTCATATTCTGTTAGAGGTATAGCTCAAAACTGGGAAAGAAACAAGTTGCGTTTGAGATCATAGCTCCAAAACTTGGTTTAAGCTAGAAATTAGTCGAACAGACATGAGCCCCATGACACTCGAATCGGCTCGACACGTGTTACCCCGTTGATAATTCTTGATTAGCAAAGATAAAAATGCCCTAGTCTTAGCCTGAGATGGTGGAGATACGTACGCATCAATCAAAACTTGATACGATTGATTAATAAAAATATATCGACGATCTGGGATGATTAAGTCAAACAGATTATATTACTTGAGACAAATTCAAACTGATACAAGTCTCCATTATCATACACAAAACACCATTTCACCATTTCCATTTTCCACTTCACTACGAGCACGCCGAGTGTTGGCCCCCACATTTCCGTACCCACTACGGCATCCAAACCAAAACTCAGTCTTGAGGATAAATGGGCGGTCAAAGAACTTTGCTGTCCCCACCCAAAAAGTGAAGCAAAACTAGGACTTTATGGTATTTCATCACAAATAATAAAACAGAAGAAGGATGGCGTTGAAATGTACCAATCAATTCAGTGCTACTTAAGAGATCAGATGTATTGTATCCAATCAGACAAGCTCATTTTCAAAGGAAATGGAAAATCTTTCACAATCATGAAGTCACATGCAAACTTTATAAAAGCTGATTAAGACTTGACTACACGAACAACAAATCACAACCCAAAATGAGGAGAAAATATAAATATATGTGATATTACTCAAGCATACTGAGAATTTGAGATCAAACAGATGGGATATTTGAGCCAAGATGTTTTTTCCCAACACAGAGACACAAAGCTTCAATATCCAATTCAGAAACACATAATTGAGAAAACAGACTACTTAAAAGGCAAAAAATTAAAGGAGGAAAAAAAAGATAAATGAAAAAGAAAAACCCAGTTTGTCAACCATTCAATTGGGAAGACAAGAATGCCTAGAATAGGAATAGAACTTGAATTAGCCAGGGTTACCTTCTCCTATTAAAAACATATAGAGGAGAAGTTCAACCCTAAATTGCAACCATGGAAGGTGCTCACTGCTTTGGTTCCTCAGGCTTGGGTGCTGCTTCTTTAATCTCATCCGCCCCATCATCCTGAAGGCAAATCAATTTATAATTCAAAATCAGTATTCAATAAATTGCACAAGAAAAAGCAGAGAGAAGGGGAAATCCATATGATTCATATGAATAATACCTGCATGTCAGAGGTCCACAGAGTGAGGTTGTCACGGAGAAGTTGCATTATCAAAGTGCTGTCCTTGTATGACTCCTCGCCGAGAGTGTCCAACTCTGCGATTGCCTCATCAAAAGCCTGGTGGAAGTTGCAGAATCAAAACCAAAGTTAGAGAATGCTACAAATGTAAAATCTTTCGGATTCAGTTTCATGATGAAGAGTCAATCACCTGTTTGGCGAGATTGCAAGCGCGATCAGGGGAGTTCAGAATCTCATAGTAGAACACAGAGAAGTTGAGAGCCAATCCCAGACGGATCGGGTGCGTTGGTGCCAGTTCTGCATTGGCAATGTCCTGAAATTACATAAAACACAAAGCATCCAATTTACACTCGAAGCAAAGAATAAATTGATCCATAAACAAAAGCTTCCCATCCATAATTCTACCAACAATTTGATCTACACACGGATCGGGTGCGTTGGTGCCAGTTCTGCATTGGCAATGTCCTGAAATTACATAAAACACAAAGCATCCAATTTACACTCGAATCAAAGAATAAATTGATCCATAAACAAAAGCTTCCCATCCATAATTCTACCAACAATTCGATCTACACTAAAAAAATTGATCTAAAATCTGCACACAGTTCGATCTATTTGTACAATCTGAACTAACCATTTTGTCTACCACTGGATCCTACACATTGCATCCCACAAAATGATCAAATTAGAGATGTTACACACAATTTTCTGCACACAATTTGGTCTATACCGAAGATTTGACGAAAATCTCCAACAATTCAATCTATTTATTCCATCTGAGCCGACCATCAGTCTAGCGATAGATTGAGATGGTAGTCAGTGAAGATGGCACACAAGACAGTCAACTAAAATAGCACACCAGATGGAACAAACAAGTTTATATGCAAATGAAAACTAACTCAATGAAATTGGGAAAAGCTAGCTAATGTGAAATACCTGAGCAGCTTTGTAGGCAGAGAGAGTGCTCTCAGCAGCCTCCTTGCGCTCGGTGCCGGTCTTGAACTCAGCAAGATAGCGATGGTAATCGCCCTTCATCTTGAGGTAGAAGACCTTGGAGTCGCCGGCGAAGGCGGAAGGGATGAGCCGCGAGTCGAGCAGCTTGAGAATGCCATCGCAGATGTTGGAGAGCTCGGTCTCGATCTTGGATCGGTAGTCGCGGATCATGGCGACGTGGTCGTCGTTGCCGCGGCTCTCCTCCTTCTGCTCGATGGAGGAGATGATGCGCCAGGAGGCCCGGCGAGCGCCGATCACGTTCTTGTAGGCGACGGAGAGGAGGTTGCGCTCCTCCACGGTCTAGGCCCGGATCATGGCGACGTGGTCGTCGTTGCCGCGGCTCTCCTCCTTCTGCTCGATGGAGGAGATGATGCGCCAGGAGGCCCGGCGAGCGCCGATCACGTTCTTGTAGGCGACGGAGAGGAGGTTGCGCTCCTCCACGGTCAGCTCCTCCTTCTCGGCGGAGGCCGAGACCTTCTCGACGAACTCCACCATCTCCTCGTAGCGCTCAGCTTGCTCCGCGAGCTTCGCCATGTACACGTTCTCTTCACGGGGCGAGGGTGTGGTTGCCGCCATTGTTGGTGAGCTTGTGAGATTGGGTTCACAGAGAGAGAGAGAGAGAGAGAGAGAGGGAGGGAGGGGAAAAGGAGTTGGGATTGGATCTTGAGATCTGGCGATTGTTTTGGGAAGAAGGAGAGAGATTTGAGGGGAAATGGGGTGTTATTTTTGGGGGTAGTGGAGCGATAATTGCGTTGGGAGAAGGAGAGATCTGGGCCGTTGGATCAACTCTGCATGTTTGGCAATTGGCTGGTGCAGAAGAACAAGCAGCTGGCAAACACGGGACTTTTAATTTTATTTTTTTTCTTTTCACAAATAATAACACGGGGTTTTGATTTTGAACTGGAAAAAGGTGCGCTTTTTTATTTGAATGTGCAGTTGGCAGAAGCTAGCTTTTGGATTTCAAACGTCCGAAACAGTGTTGTCCTGGATTCTCCAATAAGGGGAGATTTTGGTAGGGCCATTGGGCTTTGATACCAAGCATGTCCAATGGCAGCCTGGGCTATTTAACAGGCCTGTCCACATTTTGCACTTTTTTTGTCCACACAAGATGGACTCTCGGCCTCTTTTGGTGGCTTGGCTATACTAAACTGGAGTTGAGATCAAGTTCTTAGAGCATCCACAATGGGCTCCTTAAATCACATTCTTAGACAAATTTTAGAAAGGAATTGTAAAAATACAACTCTAACCATGCTCCCTATCCACCTCCTAAAATAGGGAGACCTTAAGGAACTCCTAAATCTCAAGAGAGAGAAATGACTTTTAGTGACTTCCTATAATTTAATGCTGCTTTATTTAATGAGTATTTCAAACCTTTATTTAATGCTAACTATTTTTTATTTTATTTTTTAATAGAGATGGACCAATCAAAAAAGAGTTATAGCATTTATGACTCTCTAAATTAGAGAGCATGACTGAAGTTTAAATTTTATAGAGAGCTCCTAAAATAACTTTTATATATTTTTAGCTAAAATTTAATTAAAAAATAGAGGGCATGATTGTGTATGCTCTTATGAGTCTAAGTCAGTTTTAACATTTATATAAGTTTACCAAATAACGACAAGAATATTAGTCCAATTTTATTGAAATAGTCCAGTCCAAGCTAAGCCACCAAACGTGGTACAAAAGAATAATGTAGCTGAGTGACACTAATCGACCACTTGTGGCTACAAGATGTAAGCATCTTAGAGTGAAAAAAAGAAAAAAGAAAAAAACGGGAGATTCACTATTACACCAAATATAGGAGCCCAAATTATTAAAAAAAACCCCTATATGAAATGGACTTTAGAAATACACCAAAAGTCCATTTACAACATAACAAAAAGGCTTTTAACTTCTTTTAAATTACAAAACTGCCATTGATTTCTTAAAACAAACCAAATCCCAAAACCTCGTTAAAAAAAGCTCAAAACACTCAATAGGGCATTAAAGTAATTTAATAATCAAAATTAAATTCAATAGGGCAAACTGTCATTTTTTGGGTTTTTTTTTGTTTGTTTATAGAAATTAAATTGTGTAGGGTTTATCTATATTAGAGCAACTCCACCCATTTTGCCATGGCAAAGGGTAAGGGAAGGCAAAGACTATTACTATTCATGTGAATAGTGTCAACCTTTGCAAAAGGCTTGTGGTGTTTCCACCCATTGCCATGGCAATCACTATTCACATGAGATATAAGGAGAGGAATTTGTATAGAGTTTTGGTGTGGGAAGTGAAAAATATGACTAATTATTTATTTTTTAAAAATTCTGAAATTTTTAGTATTTTTAAATTTTTTTTTGGTTGCTGACATCAACAAACCCAAGTTATTGCAAGGGCTGATTTTGCTTGAGGGCCAGCCCAAGCTTGTGAAGCCCACACCCAGCCTGGGCAAAAAAGGCCTGCTAGAACGCGATTTTCTTCTTGGGGCCCCCTTGTCCCAGTCTAGGCAAACCGATGGAGTTGCTCTTATTAATACTAAAAATGAGTATATGACTAAATACCTCCAAAAAAAAAAAAAAGCATTACATAACTACTCATCATCAACAAGGCTAATTTGAGAACATCATTGTTATCAAAGAATTCTCCTCCTAATATGGGACATGTAGATGTTCCGTTATTTGGCTTAATCATGACTTGGCATCATACAAGGTTGAAAATCGTTGAAGAAAGTGGGTCTTACACCAACCATGAAATTACTTAGCACTCTTAAAAACTAATTTAGAGAGAACTGTATATTTTGATTGATTTTGAAGTCAGCTTCAGTCTTCTTAAGAGATTATGATTTGTTTTGTGGGCGGACTTGAGCCAATGCATTCAAACTCAAACCTAACCCGAAATAATGTTTATGTCCTAAACTTTTAACCAATTTGTTCGGACTTTCTTAATCAACTTCATAAACAATTGATTCAACTCTTTATTGGAAATTTGAATTAGTTATACTCACAAATACTCATATAAATTAGTAAATTAAACAAGAGCCCCAAAACAGCACAATCATACACCATAGTTAATACATCAAATGCGTAGGAAAATAGTTAAAAATATTTGGCATGTGATATAAAGAGATGCACGTTGTCGTTGTCCTAAAGCCGTAGACGCCTACCTACATGCAGGTTATAACAGTCGTCTACAACTTCAAGATACAACCCTTGAAACTCACTAATCCGTTAAGCACGATCACAACAAACAGGGTACCAAGTGTTTATTAAATTGCCCATTAGACATATGAGAGAAAGAAGGGACAATACAGAAACATAGAGTACTGAAAGACACGAGAAGAGGGAATAGAACATACTGTTCTTTGTAAGGAGTTCCTATTTCATAGAACTCTATTTGCCTCTTTAGTGATAAACATGACTTTTACTTGACCTTTTAGTAAAACCTAATTATAATAAATAACGTTTTGGATCTTAACAAATAAAGTGTTATTTATTTATAAATAACATAAATATCCAACACCTTTCTTAATCAACTTTATAAACAATTGATCGATACATGACAAAATGACATATGAACCCGAGACATCCACTCACTTGGACAGAAGAATGAAGGTTAGATAAAAGATTGTGACAATGGCACCAACTGCCGGGTCCATGGGAAATGTACCTATAATTAGTAGTGTATAAATCTTAAAAGGAACCGCAACGTAGAACCTGAAATGTGAAAGGGAAAACGAACTGCTGATGCGATAGGTTGCCGACTGAAGCAGCCAAGCCAAGGTTGGTTTTGGCTTGTAGCTTCATTTAGTCAATCAGTGAGCCTCCAACACCTTCTTGACACTGCATGACAAAACAAAACTTCACTTCCAATCTTCACCGAAAACTCCAAATCCTCTTTTTTAACTTTCACCCAACTGCATGCCGTCAAACACTGTTTCAGTGTGTGGCCTCTGCCTTTCCAAGGCTTTTATATCATAATTCTCTCTCACCAACCCTGTTTTTCACTTGTCCTCCTAAACCCTCCAAAAGGGTTCATTTACAAGAAAACAAGAGAGTGCATTTTTGGGTTCATTGTGTGTAGTGTTATGGAGAGGTATGAGATTGTGAAGGATATTGGGACTGGGAATTTTGGGGTGGCCAGGCTGGTCAGAGACAAGTTCACAAAAGAACTCTTTGCTGTCAAGTTCATTGAAAGAGGCCAGAAGGTCTGTTTTTCATTTTTTGTCAAATCGAATTCTCTGCTCTTTTTTTCTTGGTTTTGGGTTTTGATCCATTTCTTTGGTGATGCAGATAGCTGAACATGTGCGGAGGGAAATCATGAACCACAGATCATTGAAGCATCCCAATATTGTTCGATTCAAAGAGGTCAGTTAAATCATGTGTTTTAGTCCTATATATAGCATTAGCTGCTTCTTCCTTTCTTTTCTACTTCTGCTCTGCCTCATGTTCATATATTTCGTCCTGGTCCCTTGACAGATACCGATGGCATGTTCTCTATATATTTTGCATAAGCATTGCATAAGTATTGGGGTGTCATTTTCTTGCAGGTCCTGCTGACACCAACTCATCTAGCCATCGTAATGGAGTACGCGGAGGGGGGAGAACTCTTTGAGAAGATACACGGTGCTGGTAGATTTAGTGAGGATGAGGTAAATAAATTTCTGAGGGGGAGAGACTTTCATATGGAAAAAATTTGTCGTTTAGAATATGGCATCTCTGAATGTCCCCTGAAAATGGCATACATATACATTTTTGTTCTTCTTTTTTTTCTCAATTTTATTGTTCTTTTGCATCAGGCAAGGTATTTCTTCCAGCAATTGATATCAGGAGTTAGTTACTGTCATTCAATGGTATGTAAATCGGCCGTCTTCTGTTAATGTGTTAAGCTGTTATTTCTTTCTCTCATTATCTTTTGTAGTGTTGATTGTAGTAAGGAAATAATTCATTTGTGGCACTGGCAGCACATCTGTCATAGGGACCTTAAGCTTGAAAATACACTCTTAGATGGCAGCACAGCACCCCGTGTGAAAATATGCGATTTCGGACACTCAAAGGTATTCCACAAACCCTAGAGTACAGATCAACGTTAGGGATTCAGGTTAACCGGGCTTCGAGTAATTAATTCTTTCACTATGTTTTGCAGTCAGTATTGCATTCTCAGCCAAAATCTGCTGTAGGAACACCAGCTTATATTGCACCTGAGGTCCTATCTAAAACCAAATATGATGGAAAGGTAAGTCCAATTCTTGTTTATTTTCATTGACTATGTAGCTTGCTATTGCATTAAGCATCTTTCGAATCTAATCTTAGACATTACAGATTTCAGATGTTTGGTCTTGCGGAGTCACCTTATATGTGATGATTGTTGGATCATACCCCTTTGAAGATCCTGAAGAACCTATAAACTTTAAAAAAACAATTGAGGTTAGTGACATTACAACCTTTTTGACTAATAAAATGGAACAGAAATTAGATCAGATTTGCTAGTTCTTTTTTGAGTTGTAGCTAACATGCTATATGTGTCTTATGGCAGCGGATCCTTAGTGTACACTACTCAATTCCTGATTTTATCCGAGTTTCCAAGGAATGCAGACATCTCTTGTCTCTTATATTCGTAGAAAACCCCGAAAAGGTAATTAGAGTTAATCACAGGTTTAACTTAAGCAATGAACTTTGGTATACTGCTAACTAACACGAGGAGTTTCCTTGAGTTTTGTTTCTCCTTCTCATTCTTACAAATATCTGGTTTTGGCTACTGAGGTTAGCTTTCTCATTGCGGTCTCTACTTATATATCCTTGCAGAGAATAACAATCCCAGAAATTGAAAGCCACCCTTGGTTCGTAAAGAACTTACCTATCGAACTTATGGAAGGAGTCGGAAGCTGGCAGTGCAAAGATGCAAATAATCCATCCCAAAGCGATGAAGAAGTTCTATCAATAATACAACAGGCACGAAACCCCTCAGAAGAGGCCCCAAATGCTGCTGGTAGGCCTCTCATGGGAAGCAAAAGCATGGATCTTTGATGATTTGGATATTGCTAATGTTGAAGATATTGAAACAAGTGGTCATTTTGTATTTCCAAATCTGAGTAATTAAATTGTACATACAAATCAGTTTACATTCTGGCATATTACAAGCCCCATCTACAATATTCATTTTCAACAAGTCTTTATCAGGAGGTTTTATCACCGCATCCTATTTGACCAAAAACCAGAGGAGAAATTACCCTAAATCCAGCCCATATTTATTTTTTATACGTAGGGCAAATGTTGTGTGCACGGATTGTTTAATTCACAACTTCTAGTGACTTTAAGGATATGAAAAATAACCCAAGATAGAAAATTGCAGCAAGCCCATTGAAAACAAATTAAAAAGTATGCCCCCAGCCCCAGGTTTAGTTGACCAAAGTTTGTGCTAAAAGTCCTCTCTCTTCATCCCTTTATTTATCACAGAGGTGCAAAAAATTATATCATCAAGAGCAATGGATACCAACTGTAGAATGCAGAAAAGCAAAATCCAAACGCTGTATGAAGCCTGCAATCTTTTATTTTCCCAGAAAATGCTCCCAACTTCCCAACAAGTTCAATGGCTGAAAAATTTCCTGGGTATGATTTACTTGGTCATTTTGTTCATGCTTGCACTTATGTTTATATTGGACTGAAACATTTATAGGCTCAAATTTTTATCACACGCAGGCACGTTTAAAGCAATAGATGTTGGAATTGATGAATTTGGTTTATGTGGATCGCCATCTACTAGCCCAAGGAGAGATAAGGGACTGATCTGTGGGCAAAGCATCTCCCAAATCACTTACATTCACATTCATGAATGTCACCATTTCTCTGTAAGTAGAGTTGCCCTAGTCTGTGCATTTATATATCAGACAGTTTGATATTATGTTGTCAAATCATCGATCAAAATTGCATTTATTGACAGTCCGGCAATATAACATATTGATAAAATGTTATGAGCAGATCGGCGTGTTTTGCTTCCCAGCTGGAGTGACACTTCCCCTTCATGATCACCCTGAAATGACAGTCTTTAGCAAACTCCTTTATGGTTCATGTTATGTTAAAGCTTACGATTGGATCAACGGAGGAACTACTTCAGGCTTCAGAACGTGTAAGAACCAATCATAATTAACTTCATGAAGAAAAAATTAAGCTGCAAGATTTAGTTATTTTGCTAGACCTACTACATAAATTTTGGCAAAGACAACCTTTGATTTTGTGTTCTGTCTGTGGGCGCAGTTGGATTGGCAGGCAAGGTTTTAGATGGCATTAGGAGGGCACCATGTGAGACTTGTGTACTATTTCCAACAAGTGGAGGGAACATTCATTCTTTTAGTGCAGTAACTACCTGTGCTATCTTGGATGTATTGGCTCCACCTTACTCTGAGGAGCTTGGCAGGCCTTCTACTTATTTCTTGGAATTTCCTATTTCTTCTCTTCCTGGTAATTAAAACAAATTATATATCAATCCGATTTTAATTATAATTCTAAATTGCATATGGCTGATTTGGTCATCTGTCCAATTTATGGAGCAGGATATGCAATGCTTGAGGAAGGAGAGTTGCAAGATGATCTGGTGGTTGCTGGAGCACCATATCTTGGCCCCCCTATTGATGATGCTGGCATTGGCTGTTGTTGCCTTCTTGACTTTGCCAGTGTATAGTTTTATTTACTGCATGATTGATAGGATTGCCATACAATGCTTAAAACTTAATGAAATACAGATAGGCTGCGCTTAAGCCAAGCAGAGCATTTGGATTGCCAAAGAAAGGGTGCATGTGTTTTAATATAAATATTGCTGCAATTTCCTAAAGTGGCAAATCCAAATGGTAAATAGCATTTTCCTTGCACCTGTGGTTTTGTGTTTGAATCCTCCGTCTCCATTATCACTTATCAAAAGAGTTTATAAAATATAAAAAGTCAATCAAATCGAAAAATCGATGAATCCTCTAAATAAAACAAGCAAACACAATTATTTTATAACATTAAAATAATTAGAGTAACAAACAAATGGCTAATCAATCTATAATTGAGCTGATTTCTTAGGTAAACAATTGTTAAAAACCACTTAAAAAAATTAGACAATTCCCATCTAGCGAATTCAAAATAGTAGTTTGTGTCACATAACTTGCATAATACTTTATCTTGTTTTCACCCAAAGAGAGGGAGAAAAAACATTCTCTTGTTTCTTTTTGCATGAGATATATAAAATTTGTGCACAAATTAATAAATCCATTTTTGGATAAAGCAAGCAGCTGCATGCTTACGCGGCGCCTTACAGTGGGCGTGACCGCAGTGGCCCAGAAACGTGGGCTTGACTTGACTGTGGAGCAATATAAAGCGCATAAAACATGGTTTTTGCGAAAAACGAATCACTCTGACTGTCATTTGGCGTTTTCACATTATCTGTAAAATCTCTCTCCTTTCCTCTTTTGGGTCAAGAAATCTTCATCTCTGAAACAAATTAATACGAAAAATTTCTGAACTTTCACACCGCTTGACATAATTTACTTCCAATCTTCACGAAAAAACAAAAAAAAAAAAACCAAATTCCATTTTTTACTTTCACTGCATGCCGTCAAAGACTATTTGAGTTTGTGGCCTCTCGCCCTCAGCTGCCTTTGTGAAGACTTTTTAATGATATCTTTCAAACCAACCCTTTTTTCCACTTGTCCTCCTAAGGGCTATCTTTGTTTGGTGCAAAGCCCTCTGCAACCCTTTTCAGTGGGAACTTGGATGTGCATGTTGCTGCTGCTGTTTCATGATCTGGTTGTCAGCTCTGTTTGAATTTGTGTTCATTGCTGTTGTGAGCTTTGGAAATTAATTGGTCTAGTATGGAGAGGTATGAGATTATGAAAGATATTGGGTTTGGGAATTTTGGGGTGGCCAGGCTGGTCAGAGATAAGTTGACCAGAGAGCTCTTTGCTGTTAAGTTCATTGAGAGAGGCCAGAAGGTTTGGTTCATCTCTTAAACCTCTTTTATCTTCCTTTTATTTTTGTGAATTCTCTCTTTGTATTTTTTATTTTTTATTTTTGTCGGTTCTTTGAATTTTATCTGGGTATTGGGTTGTTTTCCATTTCTTTGGTGATACAGATAGATGAACATGTGCAAAGGGAAATCATGAACCACAGATCATTGAAGCATCCCAATATTGTTCGATTCAAAGAGGTCAGTGATTATGAATTATGTGGACTTGATATCCATAAATGAATTTTCCAGTTTTCAGTTTTCAATTTGAGAATGAATTTTCCATAAACATATAGCATGTCTTTATACATAAGCTGATTTTTCTTATCTTTTGTCGTGGTCCCTTGAGAGATACTGATAACATGTTCTTAATCAACTTTGCATAAGCATTGCCTAAGTATCTGTTGAGGTTGGGTTGAAGACAGAACATGCTAAAATCATGCCTTCATTGTACTTAAATTGGTAGGACTTATTAAAGGTGTTGTTAAAGTACCTTTGTTAAAAACATGGACTCTACTTGCTGTCAGTCTTTGTTAATGTGAAGTGAAAATAGTCTTTACAATGGCCTATTTCCGATAAACAGGTTTTCGTTTAAGAGTATTGGGGTCTCTTTCTTGCAGGTCCTTTTGACACCAACTCATCTAGCCATAGTAATGGAGTATGCGGCAGGGGGAGAACTTTTTGGGAGAATATGCAATGCTGGCAGATTTAGTGAGGATGAGGTAAAGTAACTTTGGAGGAGGAGAGAATTTTATGGTATCATTTGTAATTTAGAAATGCCCCTTGAAAATGGAATCCATATAGATTTTCATTTTCTTTTCCCTGCGGCTCTAGATTTTCTTTTACTTTCAATTGGGAAAGAGGTGCATCTTTTTTAGTTCTTTTCCTGAAACTCTTTTTTTGTTGTTGCAAATTTGTTGTTCTTTTGCATCAGGCAAGGTTTTTCTTCCAGCAGTTGATGTCAGGAGTTAGTTATTGTCATTCAATGGTATGAAATTTGGCACACTTCTATTAATGTGTTGTATACTGCTATATCTTTTTGTCGGGATCTTTGGTAGCGTCGGTTGTAGTGAGGAAATAATTCATTTGTGGCAGCAAATCTGTCATAGAGACCTTAAGCTTGAAAACACACTCTTAGATGGCAGCACAGCACCCCGTGTAAAAATATGTGATTTCGGATACTCAAAGGTAATCCACAAACCCTAGAGTACGGATCCACATTAAGGATTTGGGTTAATGAGACTTTGAGTAATTAATTTCTTCACTTTGTTTGTAGTCAGTATTGCATTCTCAGCCAAAATCTACTGTAGGAACACCAGCTTATATAGCACCTGAGGTCCTATCTAAAAGCAAATATGATGGACAGGTAAGTCCAAATCTTTTGACTTTCCATTGACACTGTTGTTTGTTATTGCTTTAAGCATCTTTTGTATCTTATCTTAGAGGTTATAGATTGCAGATGTTTGGTCTTGTGGAGTGACCTTATATGTGATGATAGTTGGAGCATATCCCTTTGAAGATCCTCAAGACCCTAGAAACTTTAGAAAAACAATTGGGGTTAGTGGCATAACAAACTTTTCACCAATAAAATGGAACAGAAATGAAACAATGCATGTATAAAAACTTCCTAATTCTTTTTTGAGTTATAGTTAACATGTTATATGTCTTATGGCAGCGGATCCTTAGCGTACAGTACTCAATCCCAGATAATGTCCGAGTTTCCATCGAATGTAGACATCTCTTATCTCATATATTTGTAGCAGACCCCGAAAAGGTAATGTAGTTTTTATTTTGGTGCTGAAACTACTAGATATCTAGACTTCACCACCACAGGTTTAACTTAATCAATCAATCAATACCACCACATTATTGCAAATATCTGGTTTTTGGATGCACATTTCATGTTGAGATTTATAGGTTCAGTTTAGCTTTCTCATTGTGGTCTCTGCTTATATCTGTTTGCAGAGAATAACAATCCCAGAAATTAAAAGCCACCCTTGGTTTCTAAAGAACTTACCTATGGAAATGATGGAAGGAGGAAGCTGGCAGACCCATGATGTTAATAATCCATCCCAAAGCATTGAAGAAGTCCAGTCCATAATACAAGAGGCAAGAAAACCAGTCGGGGTACCAAATGCAGCTCGTAAGCCTCTGATCGGAAGCAGCAGCATGGAACTTGATGATTTGGATGCTGAAGATATTGAAACAAGTGGTGATTTTGTATTGCCAAATATGAGTAATTAAAATGTGAATACAAATTTTACTTGTGAAGTTATGAGTATTGGATTCTTGTGAGGCTCCTTCTTTTGAATTGGTCTGATACGTGGCCCAGAATAAATGGATCATTTCGTATTTTCTTTAACTCTAATGGTAAATGATTTGTAAGAACTTGAAACAATTGTTTGCCATGAATGTTCTTTTTCAGTAGAGTATTTTAAATCATATCATTTACTACTGAAAGCCAATTAATTTTCTCTTTTCTTTTCTCCCATCCCATAGTTTTGTTGTCAAACTTGAACTTTTTTTATTTTATTTTTAATCATAGTAATGATTTGTTATTGCGTCTTGCACAAATATCTACAGAAGATTATGAGTTAATTGGAGTGCTTAGTAGGAATAAATATGATTTTGTATTATTTTTAATTACTTGTAAGAACAATTGATTCGGACTTCTCCCATTGATGTATTAATTCCAACTATACTGTTATTTTAATCAACTAAGCAAAAGCCATAAATATGTACATTGATCTTGTTCATGCAGTGTGAATGAAATTCAATTCAAAGTACACTTACCAGACCAACATTGTAAATGCATTAACGTAGGGCCCGTCGGACCATTAAAGTTCTATTCACAAAAGTTACGCTAGAGACCCTAAGCCTGGCCCATAAGCCCAAAATTTCCACAAGTCTTCTTGTCCATTAATCTCAAGTCTCAAGTCAATTTTTGGCCACTTGCATCTTGGTAATTAGTGGCTAACTTAATTTCTAGCAGTAACAGATGTATAATATGTTTTGGTCTTCTATCTGTGAATGTGTCAAACACATTACAAGGATATAAAATCATTTAAATAGGAAAGAATCCGATCTCAATTTGAAAGGATGTGCCAAAAATGAATACATGCTCTTCTTTTTAGCATACCAGCAACATCCCACTTCAAAAAGATAGATCACTTTTGAAAAATATGGGTTATTAAGATTCCAGAACATCAACTGTGGCACATTAAAATACCCTCTCTTTCTGTAATTATCCAAATCCTCCCTAAAATCCCACACCCAATTGTTCTTAGAGGCCTTCTCAAAAGTGATTTCTTAAAAATGTGCATAACTTGATTGTAAATCTTTGAAGTCTTTAAAGTGATTTCTTAAAAATGTGCTTTTGGTGGAAATAAAGAGTCCAAGTCTCTAAGTGACGACGTGAAGTTTGGTTAAACAGCACCCTTTATTTTCCTTGTTCGATTCATACTAGCTATGTGTGTCAATTAGTTTTTTTATTTTTGTGTTAAAATTTTAAAAAGAGAAGTTGTAAGAAGTTAAGTTAAGGTCCATATTTGCAAGAAGATAATTATAACTTGTGCCCCGCCTTGGATGGGAGGCAAATTTAAAAGGTTGAGTGGACACGGAAAGGCACCGTTACCAACCATCTCAAGTCAAGTCAAGCCGAGTCAACAACTGCAAGACAATAGTGAGAAAGAGTCTGGTGTGCGTTGGAAGGCAAATCACCATCTCAATTCTCAAGTCTAATCTAGGTTAACAGTTGCGTGGGAAGAAAATTAGGAAATATTTGGCCAAAATTCGAGTAGGTACTATTGTCTTGCTAGAATTTGCTCCAATGCAGAAAAAAAAAAAATTGAAGAAAATTAGGAAATATTTGGCCAAAATTCGAGTAGGTACTATTGTCTTGCTAGAATTTGCTCCAATGCAGAAAAAAAAATAATAATAGAAATTCAGTTCCACTTAGTGCACCCTCAAAAAATTTCTCCAATAAAAATTAAAAATTATTGAAATAAGAAGAAGGAAAAAAGAAAAAGTCATTATTTGATTTGTATACTCTTCAGTGTGCAGCTTTTTTTTGTCTATCAAGTCAATCAATATAGTGTGATCCAAACTAATTGAAAACTCCAAATTTATTCAATTACTTAAGTCAAGTCAATGCCTAACCACTTAATTGCATCATGGAAATTACAATTAGTGTCTAACTTAATTTGTAGCAAGGGTTACAAAACACCCACTAGTGTAGTGGTTTGGAGCAAATGCTCCCTCTAGAAAAGGTCCTCAATTTGATTCATAGCATCCGTATAGTGTGTATGAGTTTAGTATGCTATCGCCCCTCTTAATTAGAAAGGTCCTAAAATAATAATAAACCTTTTGGAAGGAAAAATTCCACCTTCATTTGGAAAGCTTGGGAATTTGTAGAGGCTATTCCTGGAGAATTCGTGCATCATTGAACTAGACCGACATTGCTCATCATCCGACTAAAAATTGGTTGGTTAGCATCATAAAAGTAAAAAATCCATGTGGTCTTTTCAAATCTTATATAAATTCGTATGATATAAATTTTTTAAAATCCAAACGTAAAAAATCCTAATTATAAAAATCTTTTTAAAAAAATCTTATAAGTCATTACATTCCTAAATAGTCTTTTAAAATCAATTGGACTTATTTATCTATAAATAGTCTTTTAAAATCCAAATTGAATACACTCCCCTAAAGTTTTCTCCAAGTAAAGCATGATATTATTTCTTTCGGTTCAAATCTTAAAGACAATAAGAAAATGATGGTGTGTGGATTGTTTAAAACGGTCGTATCTTCTACTATGTTGTGTTAATAACTACAATCTCAGATCAAATCTGAACCCATGATCCGTCCATGTTGTTGTTGGTGGAACCCAACTCAACAATTTTAAACCTAATAATGGAAAATTATTGTGTATCGGTTATGAATTCACTCAAATTATAACAAGGATTGGATTTAAAAACTACGCGGTGCTCCTCCCTCCATATACCAAAAAACCTGTAATATAAAGAGGAGAAGGAAAGCATTAGGCCACCCTGAGAAAGCTTTCCATCACCAAATTTCGTGCTCCTCCCTCCCTATAGCCTATACCAAAAAAGAAAACCTCTCTAAACACTCTGCTTAAGAACAATCACCACCCCCTTCAGCCTTCGGTACGTGCACGAAAGTTAAAGTCGGTAGCTGAAGAGATTGTGATTCGTGCTAGCACCCATCGAAGCTCGTAACGACAAGTAATCTTCCATTTTCGTATCATTTCAGTACGTATATTTTACATTCTAGTGCATGGTTTTTATTTATATATATGCTTAAAAGGGGATTCAAACTTTGAACTTCGATTTAGAGATAAATAGGTGACCCAAAGGTGTCAATGGACCTTCATTCATTGATGAAATAGAAGCTTTCTTCTCCTTTTGAAAACCAAAAGGCCGGTCAAAAGAAAATTCCACCGCGTTTTTAGTTTTAATATTAGCCCAAACCATACCATTATCAACAGGGTGAAGCTAACAACACCTTTTAATCCAATTAGTTGATGTGGCCTGCCCTATAGGCTATAGGACCCCCAATGGCATGCTTAAAAAACTTCCAACCGCAACACAGGGTAAACTTCAGGTAAACTTAACTTCAGCAACACGAACCGCGTTGAATTCTCTTTCTTAATTCGGTTTTATTAATTTTATGTGTATATTTCTCTCTTCACGTAATGAACTTTTAATATATGAGTGAATTTGAGGAGGGTAAACCTCTGCAACACGAATCGCTTTGAATGGAAAATTCAAATGTCATCAGTAGGGGTGGGCATCAATCCGGCCGAACCGATGAAAAACCGGATATGAATGGTTTGGTTTGGTTTGGTTTTCGTTTTGATTTTAGCTCAAACCGAACCACACCGGACCGTGAAAGTTTAATTGGTTCAGCTGTGGTTTGAGAGTGAAACCGGACCAAACCGGACCGTGCCCACGCCTAGTCATCAGTATGTCGGGGACCCTCAATGACCGGAAACAATAAATATAATAAAGTCGATTGTCATGACTTGTCATGGGGTTCTAATTCCAGCCCTATCCTCCAACTCCTTCAATTTACCGATATTTTCAAAACGTCCCTTTATTTGGTGGGGTAGATGTTCAGTTTTCGTGTCGATCTCAAATTTCACAACTGCCTCTCTAGCTATTCAATTCAAAAACTTCCATTAGCTCTGCACTTTCTTCTTCTTGGTTTCATCTGATTCCCATCAATTTTAGTTGCAGAACAACAATGGCCTCTGTGATCATTCCACCAGTGCTTTCTTCTCCCAGGGACGATGCAATCCAACTCCACCGCGCCTTCAAAGGGTTTGGCTGCGACACGACCACCGTCATCAACATCCTCGCCCACAGAGACGCAACGCAGCGAGCCTACCTCAAGCAAGAGTACAAAACCATGTACCATGAGGAGCTCAGCAAGCGCCTCTCCTCAGAGCTCAGCGGAAACACCAAGAAATCGGTCTTGCTCTGGATGCACGACCCAGCAACGAGAGACGCCACCATAATCAGGCAGGCTCTGGGTATGGGCGGAGAACTTGTTGTTGATCTCAAAGCAGCCACCGAAGTCATCTGCTCAAGAACCCCATCTCAGATCCTGCAATTCAAGAACATCTACTTTGCAACTTTTGGGGTTTATCTGGAGCACGATATTGAGTATCAGGCTTCTGGGGATCACAAAAATTTGCTGCTTGCATATGTTGGGACGCCGAGGTATGAGGGTCTGGAAGTTGACAGAGCGACGGTGGAGTACGACGCCAAGGCTCTGTTCAAGGCAGGGGAGAAGAGGTTGGGGACGGATGAGAAGACTTTCGTACAGATTTTCAGTGGGAGGAGCAGAGCCCATTTGGCTGCTGTGAGTGCTGCTTACCATAGCATGTATGGGAGTTCACTGGAGAAGGCTGTGAAGAAGGAGACTTCTGGGTATTTTGAGCATGCCCTTTTGACCATTTTGCGCTGCGCTGAGCATCCTGGGATGTATTTTGCCAAGGTTCTGCACAAGGCTATGAAGGGTTTGGGCACAGATGACAGTACTCTTTTGAGGGTGATTGTTTCAAGGGCTGAGATTGATTTGCAGTTCATAAAGGCGGAGTACAGGAAGAAGTATGGCAAGACTTTGAATGATGCTGTTCATTCAGAGACATCTGGGAATTACAAGGCCTTTCTTCTGGCTCTTTTAGGCCCCAATCACTAGGCCAAATATGAATAGTTGCTGGGCGTGTAAGGGGATTTTCTGGGTAAGATTGTAGGTTTTAAATTCTGTGTTTTTTTTAGCTATGACTCTTTTTTAGTCATTTTCAGAACCTTGAAATTGGGGAAGGTAGATGTGTGGAGCATGAGCAGCAAGTTGTTGTTCCTTCGTTTGAAATGCTTACTGTTTCATGCCTGAAAGATTGTGTAGAGAGCTCCATAAATTTCCCAATGTTGCTTTGCATTTGTAGGTTTGAAGTTGTGCAATGAAATGTACAAAAAGATTGTGAACCAAAATTGTCACCGACCACCCACGGTTATTTCTTACCCAACAAATATCACTGCGGTTTAACAGTGGCAGAGCCACACGTATGAGGCTTTGAAGGGGCAGACCAGCTATTTGATAATAATATATCCAACCAAACACACAATCTCCTCCAATCTTATTCTCCTTACATTGAGTTCACGGATTTCACGTGTATAGGCTATACAATAATAGCAATACATTGCGACACGAAAAATAAAATCACATGTACCAACCTTACCTAACACATTTAAAACAAATTGTTGAATAATTGTAATGAATAGGGATAGATTTGAAAAAACAAAAAACAAAATTTACCAATTTATTAGTTACACATAATAACATTTTAAATTTAAACCAATTCAATCCCTTCTGCACGAGTGGAACTTCTTTATCTATGTTATATTGTCTTGTTCTATCAATCTCTCTTCACGTGGGCTAACCTATGTTGGAAAAATTTGATGATGGATGCTACTTTTCTGCAAAATATCATATGAAATAATTATTAAAAAATTGTAATTTACATTGATAGAGTATATTAAATAAAACTAATGAAATTACAGCAAAATACTTATCTTTCGGGGCATAGAAAATCCTTCTCCATTCAAGTTTGAGTAGAATAATAGTTTCAAGTTGAGGCATGTCATTCACTGTTCTTAAAAATATATTTCGCCCCTCAAAGACAATGTCTTGGTGTAACAAGGTTGTATGGTGTCCTACACTTCAAGATACAACAACCTTGACCCTCATAAACGTACACTCGCAATAATTGGATCGAGTGAACAACTCGAATCTTTCCCTTAATGAAAGCTAAAAGAAATTGGGACACAAAGATACACACTCAAAAAATGTGGGGAGAAAAATGAAGAAAGGTTGCTCGAAACATGCTGCTCCTATGCTGCTCCTCCTTTCATCGAATTAGCCTAAGGCTTTTTATAATTGGTTGTCTCTTAAGGCATTGTACCATTCACAACTTAATAGCTATAATTGACAAAAATCAATATAGCAATTGAAAATAAGAATTGGTAAAAAAAAACTCATAAATTATTTTTGGATTCAAATCTTTAAATGCCAACGACATGAAAATTATATTGAAAGCAATTATAAGACCGCACCAATAACACAAAATTAAAACCCAATCAAATAAGATATTAACACTTATATAATATAATAAGTTCATAACTGTAAAGTTCATATTATACAATAAATACACAAAATAATTTCAATTTTAAAGGAGGAAAAATACACACACAATCTGGAAAATTAAATTCAACATAATTAAGTAATGAAATTTCTTTTTTAGCTTGAACTACTCACAAAAATTCCAACAACCTATGCGTGCAATGAATTTCCATCTCCTATTATCTTCTTTCAATAATGTTTTGAACTCTTGTCCATCTCTCTTCATTGGATTCCCTCATATTTCCCTATTTTTTTTCCTATATTCATTCAATTATGATTAGGCATGTACGTAATCTCATTTTGTCATCTTTCCATTTTACCGGGTGGGAATCTTTGTTTACCGTACTTCTTATCTCTTTGTATCTTATCATGATTTCTTCTCATCTTCTTTTCCAACCTCATTACCTTGTCTATTTAAGTAGAGTTATTATCCAACCAAACACACAATCTTCTTCAATCTCATTCTCCTTCTTACAATTAGTTCATGTGGGAAGGCTATACAATAGAAGCGATAAGTTACAACATGAAAATAAAATCACAATATGAACTTTAAAAGTTGAATACTAACCAAGTCGCTTAAATTGGACCCACTTGCAGGGTTTGCAATAGCCTTAATCAAACATGTCTTCCAAAGAGAATATTGTTGGTTGATGATCTTGAATCGAGAACCAATGGCTTCTGTTGTTCGAGGCTCCGATCCAAACATTACCCGGATTATTCTACAAAAACTTTTAGTACACACGATACCCAAAGGTGTCATTTGGTTGATAACCACCCCATCTTCAAAGATACATACCCACACCCTTTGCATGATGCCTCATATTCTTGTGGTTTCCAATTAATACTTCTTAGGGATTTTGGGGGCCATATTCAACATCAAAGAAAGTGAAAAGGTTAAGAAATTGAATTTGGTGGATTATTTAACAAATGGATTGTTATTTATAGAGTTTGGAATGAGTTTTGGGGTTGGATCAGATTTAGATTAATTAAAATATTATTTTGACCGTATGATATTTTTTTCTCATTGAAATCTATATGGAATTTTTTGGGCCGTTGGATGATGTTATCGTTAGGGGAAATTGAAAAAAAAAACAAAACGAACATCTACTTCAAATTTGAGTCGTTCAATCTCAAAGGCTCTAACCAGGGCTCATCACGCGAAACACACTTCTTCTTCTTCTTTCCACATCCACGGTTACGTCAAACGGGGCCCGCTCCAACAATAGCTTCACGTGGGCTGCTTTTTCCTCTCTCCGTGGGCTCCACTCTTTCCGGTCCATGCCAAACATCAGGCAAAATTTAGCCCAACTTATTACCCATACAGGTTTTTAGCCCTATGCAATGCATGGATTAAAGATGGGTTTCCGGCTAAAAACCTTAAATTTAGCTTTTAACACTATGGTTTTGAGATGGCCTAACATACCATTTTTGTTTTCTTGTTTTTATGAACAATAAATCTTTTTATTTGAATTTTTTAATGGGCGAGCTAGCTAAAGTTATATTGTAACTAAAACCGAACCGAACCAAACCGTCATATTGTAATTGGTTCGGCCGTGGTTTTGAGGGAAAACCGATCCAATCCGGACCGTGCCCACTCCTAGTTTGTAGTTGCTATCAAAGATGGTTCCATGTTCATATTTGCGACAAAGATTGTCCCAACACCAATAAGTATAGTAAGGGTTAAAGTCCTTATTAGCCCTAACTGTCCAATTTTAATCTTTTGCATTGATTTGTCTCCAACAAACAAGCATTATTGTAAATGAAAATCACCCTTTTGCTAATAATATGGCTATAATTCAATTTTTTCTTGTGTGTGCAACTATTGTAAGCTAATAATGTATGTATGAAATTGTATATGAAAAACATGTTTTTCTATGTGTATTGGTGTTGGTAATGTTTTTCTATGTGTATTGGTGTTGGTAATGTATGAAATTGTGTTTATTTATTTATTTTTAGGTTAATATATTAAGCTATATAGGTTTGAATTTTTTTTCTTCCCAAAAACACGCTACAGCCCCAGCACAACCCACATAGTGTGGTCATGACCATCACCACTACTATCTAACCATCATCGTTATTGCCATCACTGTTGCCACCACCACCACCACCTTGTTGTGTCCATCACCACCACAACTATTTCTACTACCACCGTTGGCGTCGCTATCACCACCACTTTTACCGTCACCTTGTCATGACCAGCATAATCACCCTCACTTCCATTGTCATCGCCACCACCCCACCACCACTCAATCACCATGACTGCCACCACCTTACCATTAGCAACCTCATTATTAACATCACACATGACATTACCACCCATTACCACCACTTGATTTTTGTTGTTGCCAAAGTTAGGAAGGGGAATGAGAGAAGCTCACACACACATATCATGGGGGCTTGAACCCATGATCACTTGAAAGCACACAAAAGCTTGAATCAATCCAACTAATACCCCATTAATAGCACTACTTGATTTATAGACGAATGGTTAATTATTTTTGTGCCATTATATTTTAGGTTTGCCAAACAAGGACTTTCACAATTTTTAAAACATTAATTTCTATGATTTTGAAATGCCTTGTTAATAATCTTAAATTTCCTGGTTCATTAATACGCAAGGTAACTTCAAAAACCTCCCCACTAAATAAAAACGAAAAAAAAAAATTCCACCTAAAGTTTTATAGTATCACTTACTGGGCTTTGAACCGTCAAAGGAGGTGAACCCAACTCCCATGAGCAGTCATGGCTTTGGGCTTGGGCCTCCCTCCAAAAATTCGTACCAAACGACCCACAATAAACCCCCAACCCCAAATATAAGAGCCCTTTCAGGCCATTCAAAACCCTAATCAGAGAGCATAGTTTCCTCACATCTTCATTCTCTCTCAGTCGCAGCCGCAGCCCCTCTGCTCGCATCTGAGAGCCAAGATGAAGGTTTTGCATCCATGACTTCCTTTCTCTGCTTTCTCTCTGTTTCTGTCTTCTTGGGTCTCACTTTCTTAATCTTTCTTTGCAGTTCAACATCGCCAACCCCACCACTGGTTGCCAGAAGAAGCTCGAAATCGACGATGACCACAAACTGTAACGTCCTTATTGACTTGGCTTTGCTTGAAATGTCATTGGTTTTCATCTTTATCATGAAATTATTTCTCTGTAGCTCGTGTTTCAAGATTAAGAATGTTTTGAATGTGTAGTCGGTATTACTTGAATGCTAGCTTTGCATTTGCTTTACATTTCAGATGCTTATGTTGTACACTCAGCTTAATTTGATTATTAGGCTCTTAGATTTTAAACCAAACAGCTGGTTGTTAGGTTTGTTTTGTGTTTTGCTGGTATTCTCGAAAATTATCATTTTATTATGAATAAGCTCGCTTAGAACATTAAGCTCTTATATTCAGTTGAGTATTAGCATTGTAATTCATATTCTATGTAGATTTAGTCTCGTATATTTTGAACTAGCAGTTTTCCAGATACTTTCAGTTTATTAGCCATTTTCCTTGCGCAAAGAGTTGATTTTTTCCTCCTGTTGTGACTGTAGGCGTGCATTTTTTGACAAGAGAATCTCCCAGGAGGTCAGCGGCGATGCTCTTGGAGAGGTATACAACTTGCCTTTTCTTTTTTATTTGCCTAACTCTTCTTTGATTTACAAGTTCTGTTAATGACTTTTACTTGTCAACAGGAATTTAAGGGATATGTCTTCAAGATTATGGGAGGATGTGACAAGCAAGGGTTTCCAATGAAGCAGGGAGTGTTGACCCCCGGCCGTGTTCGCCTCTTGCTACACAGAGGTTCTGAGCGACCCTCGTCTTATATCTGTATTTGTTGCATTCATAACCGAAGTTTGTAGAAGCTTGCTTTTCTGCATCTTAACAAACCTTTTAAATATATATTTTTCCAGGAACCCCTTGCTTCCGTGGTTATGGAAGGAGGAATGGTGAAAGGAGGAGAAAGTCTGTTCGTGGTTGCATTGTCAGCCCTGACCTTTCTGTTTTGAACTTGGTGATTGTGAAGAAGGGTGAAAGTGACCTTCCTGGATTGACTGACACCGAGAAACCTAGGATGAGAGGTCCCAAGAGGGCTTCTAAGATCCGTAAACTCTTCAATCTCTCAAAGGTTGATGATGTTCGGAAGTATGTCAACACATACCGCAGATCATTTACATCAAAGACTGGTAAGGTTTTTTAATTGTTATCAATGGTATTCTCATGTACTGGGATTATCCCATTTTGCTGCTTTGGATTTTTAGATGGTAGAGCCACCTTGATGGATCAACATGTTCTATCTTATAGACAAGGTTCCTCTCCAGGGCTGCATAACAAGGCCCATGTGCTGTAGAGGACAGAACTTGCCCAAATCCTTGTTTATGTGATATAATATGCTGATGCACAGCATAAACGTGATGAATTGTTTGGCTTTCTTTTGTTCGAAACCTTTGTTGGAATGCTTATTGGGTAACTGATGTTTTATTGAAAATCTCCTCAAAGTGAATAAACAAGATACAGTTAGGACTTTTAAAGTGATCCATTTGCGTTGTATTGGAATGTAATGTCAGATTGGTTCTGTTTGCTGGTTTACTAAGCTTGTTGGTTTTGTGTTGTTGGCAGGCAAGAAGGTGAGTAAAGCTCCCAAGATTCAGAGACTTGTCACCCCCCTGACCCTGCAAAGGAAGCGGGCAAGAATTGCAGACAAGAAGAAGAGGGTTGCTAAGGCCAAGTCTGAGGCTGCTGAGTACCAGAAACTCCTTGCCTCAAGATTGAAGGAACAAAGGGATCGACGAAGTGAGAGTTTAGCCAAGAAGAGGTCCAGGCTTTCTGCTGCCTCAAAGCCATCTATTGCAGCATAGATGTGTGTTAAGTCATTGAGTTTTGGTTAAAGTATGGATGTTACTGCATTTTCTTCGTATGGTTTTTCAGTTTTTGTGGTACCTAATGACTGCTTAAAGTGCTTTCTCTTTTGCTGTTGAGTTTATTGGATTTTTCACTATGAAAGCTTTTCCCTTTTGATTAATATATTGGAGCTTTCTATTCAGTAGCCTTAATTATTGGATGTTTTCCCTTTCGATTTCATGCTATATACGCTCAGATGCTTGTTACCTTAAACTTTTGAATTCAGTCCACAAATTGAGTGATCTTATACTCTCGACATGCTCTAGTATACTCATTCGAATTCTGAATGGCAGTGAGGCGCTAATACAGATTAAGAATCCTCATTTTATCATAGTTTCAGTAGAACTGATACTTGTTGGCTGTAAGGGCATGTAGCTCAAGGGTATCCTAGGTCCTTAGTTTGATTCTCCTCTCTTGGGGTAAGATTGTCTAGTTTGAGATTGTATGTTTGACTCGTAAATATCATAAGCTTCTTATTTAAAAGAAGTTTGCTCGGGACAAATTATATTTTGAAAAATAATTTAATGCAATTCTATCCAATTTTGAAGTTTATATCCATTCTACACCGTTCTTAAATATCATGTTTGTATTTTCGTTTTCGAAATTTGTGTCGAAAATGTATTTTTCGAATGACTTATTTGCGTGTTCGAGGTCAACTCATGAAAAAACCAATCCAACTCAAGTCAAAGCTCGATTTTTATTTCTTTTTATATATAAATGATAGTCTAAATTATCCTGGAGCATTATTGCTCACCACTTTAACCATAGGTGTACCTTCATCACCATTCTCAATACTTGACACGCGTTCATAGACATAAACATAGTTAACTTTTGCTTTGTATTTATGGAATTATGATTATGTCTATGGACACGTGTCAAGCATTGAGGATGATGGTGAGAGTACACCTATGGTTAAAGTGGTGAGCAAAAATGCACCCCCTAAATTAGTCTATGTTACGAGGAGGGTTCGAACTTGAATGCAAAGAGCGAGGGTTCAAACTTGAATGCAAGGAGTACGGACTCACTGTCCTAGTTAACTAGCCTAACCTACATCTACAAGCTCTAGTTAACTAGCCTAACCTACATCTACAAGCTCGATTGATCAATCAAATCAATCTTGAACACTGATACTCGGCTTGGCTCCTGTATACACCCCTAGCAACAATTAGTTCCTCCAAGCCTACTATGCACAGGAGTTCGGAATAGGTATGGCTTGAAGTAAATGTAAAAAACCAACGCGCTTCGGTGGCTTGCAGCCCTGATGAACTTCAAATTATTTTCTGAATGAATCTTGCTCTATAAAGATATGGTTAATAAATTGGCTTAAATACACCGACAGACTAGGTTTAACGTGTATTCACTTGATCCTGTACTTATTAAATTTACACAAACAATAGATGTAAAAAAAAAGGGAGAGAAAGAAGAAACAGCGAAGGAAAAGAAGAAGAAAAGAGGAGGAAAGAGAGGAGAAAAAAAAAAAAAAGAGAAACAGAGAGAGAGAGAAGGGAAGAAAAAAAAAATTATAATTTTGGATTGATTTGACGATTATACCCCTAGATTTAACGGTTTTTTTGACAGAAGGACTATTTAAGAGTACCTGTATTAACGTTAGGGACCATTAATGATACAAAAAAACGTTAAGGATGCAATGTGATAATTTCACAAACGTCAGGGATGTTTTGTGATAATAAGCCTATTAAATTTACACAAACAATAGATGTTGAACTGGTTGCAATGTCGGATTGGGCAAGTTAGAAGGCCTATTAGTATTAACAATTTTAAGGAAAATACTTCCCTCTTTATTAGGTAAGTAAGAGTTCCTATATTCTTACCAATAAGTGTGACATGTGTGCAATACTTTTTCCTTCTGTGTTTTTAATGAATTATTTTTGCATCCCAAATTTACGGTAAGGAGGCAAGTACTATCCCAATTTTAATATTGGTATGATCATTTTCCAAAATATAAATTGATTAAAATCTATTTAAATAAGTAAAGTTTCCTGAAACTTTTGACCTTATGAAGTAATAAGACAATAAGTTAGCAACAGTCAATGCTGCAAAAAATAATCATGGTACACAAACTATGTCACAATGAAGAATGTCTGCTCCCAAAAGTGCTATAATATTGTGGAAGTTTTAGGCTCCAACGAAGAGAGAAATGCAGAAGATGATGATGATCCAGGGAAACCTTTGTAATTATTCAACTCTCCCCATACTACCTGCTCAACTTCTTCCCATGTCTTCGCCGTCTTGAGTTCGTCCCAGAGACTAAAAATAGCTCCCAAGACATTGTCGTCATGCAAAATACAGTAGCACCTGCAGAAATGAATCCATCCAAAACTAATCAAACACCCACTCTCATGGTTCAGGCAACGGTTAATACCAAAGTTGTTAAAACATAAACAGCAAAGTGACCATTAGCTTCCTTTTGAAACGAATGATAGAGTTAATCTATAATTTTTCCCATGTCAAGAGTCAGGACCCCTCTCAGGCACCAAGACCAGAGTGACACAGTAAAGAATCAGTTGGCTGTGCCAGAATTCCAAGACTAGTGTTATTGTTACCTAGCCTTAATCCAAAATCTGCTGCATACCATTGTTGCTGAATTTTTCCATAGTTTGGATAGCGCATGGATAATGTAATGTATACCACAAAATGTCTAAATCATCCCGATGTAAATGAAGAACATTAACTGACCAACTGCCAACTAAATTGAGAAAACGTCATAAGCAGGCATCTATGGGAATTATTACTTACATGGCATGGTAGGAAAGCCGTCCAAACTTATCGCCACCCTTAACAGACTCATTCTGTGACACTCCTCTCACTAGAGGAAGTTTATAGCTTTTTAAAAATTGCTCAAGGAGAGAGCGATCACCTCTAAATATATCCAAGTATATGGGTATCAAATCATAAATGGGGTCACCTGCAAAAGAAATAAAAGAATCAACATGACAACAGTACATATGAGCGAACATGATATTAGAAAGCCAATATGAAACCACTCAAACTTGAAATGTATCGAGCTGATTTACAGCCCTACTTTGTTCCAATTGAATAGACATACTGACTATAAACAAAGACACATGATGAAAATAGCCTGCATTCCCAAATAGCAAAAGACAAATTATCCAAATACCAATACGATTATGCAAGTAATAGCAACACATGGAACACTATTCAATAATAAATACCAACCTATAGAAAGATCGCTGAAATCAAGAATGTGGTTAGGACGCCATGATTTACTCCCTGCACTGTCGCCATTGACATTCACCAAACCATTATTTACCAGGTCAGTGCCGTTGGTGTTCCCAATCAAGCAAGAATGAACACCACATGGTTCCATGTGAACATTGTCATCCATGATATCCGAGTGTATCCAGGAACAAAGTTTACCAACTTTGTTTAAGCCATTTTCATCCTGAAACCATAGATGGTCAACATGTTAAAAATCACATTAAAAATTTAAGAGAAATTGATCTTGACATGTTTGCTAAAAGGGTGGGATGTGGTAGAAACCTCAAATATGTAAAGCAACTTGTAAAAATCATCTGGGATGTATTCATTGACTTTCTCTATTAGTGTGCTAGGAATTGGATCTCCCCTGCACAGTGAAATTGAGATACTTAAGAGCTGTCCCTTTAATACTCTGTTACCAAGTTGAAAACATTAAGGATATCCATAGTTGGAGCTCAGATTGCACTCATAATATATTTGACCACACATGTACCAAAGAATAGAAGATTCAATAGAATATATCAGTTTTAAGAAAACCCAGTTCTGCAACACCACAGGACATCAAACATACAAACAGGAGCACAAAAAGACAAAAATACAAGCATTGATACCAATACCAGCACAAACATGAAAAAAAAACATGTGTGGCATATGTATAAGAAATATAAATTTGGTTGTAACATATAAACATTGGTAAACTACATAAGAAATATAACAGATATAACAGGAGCACAAAAAGACAAAAATACAAGCATTGATACCAATACCAGCACAAACATGAAAAAAAAACATGTGTGGCATATGCATAAGAAATATAAATTTGGTTGTAACATATAAACATTGGTAAACTACATAAGAAATATAACAGATAGTGTTTAGCACAGTATTTTCACCCGAAAGTGAAATAAATTTGGTTGAAAACACCATGCGCTTACTCAAGTATAGATGCTACTGAGGGGTTTGCTGTGTAACAATCTGTGTCTATCATAAACACAGCATGACCTCATCATACTTTCCAAGAAGGTCAGCTTATAACTCTAAAATTAGGAATATAATAAAATATTGTGAACAGGACTATAAATTGAACAAGTTATGAAATCTAACAAAGGAAAGTTCTTCTTGTGATAGGTAAGGAAATACCATTTACTCAAGCGACCTGAGAGATCCTTCTTCTTCCTGATTAGAGTTCTGATGAAAATATTCCATTCAGCTGGAATTTCTGGTTTATCAGGAACAGCCTCCATACAACCGTTAGTCAAGGGCAGATCTATTTCCTGTTCAACATCTGAGAAATTTGAGATACTAAGAGGTGGAAGGGGCAGGAGATGGAGGTTACAGAGCTGCTCTCCCAGAAAGGATGCTAAGTTCAGCGTGTCTTCAAATGGCATGGTATCTCTTCTGCAAAGTTTGAAACAAAACAAGGCCAATTAAGGAAGCTATGCCAATATTACCTCTAACAAGTCTAAAAGGAAAAATCTTGAGCAGCACTTGAACTAAAAGAAGGAACATATACACTACACTTACAACTCTGCATATATTTTCCCTTTGCACCGTTTTGTTATAAGATATGGCCATATCCGTGTGCCTTCGGCCGCACTGATGGGTTCATATAATGCTTTTCTGTATTCAAATTGTTTCTTACTCCATACACCAAAAGGAAAAACATCTGATTTGAACTTCTCAGGAATAAGATTGCACTTAGCAATCACATCAGGAACTCCATTGCCATCCCAAGGTACAATTCTATAAATTCCATGTTCAAGATAAATGATCCCACTTGCCAAAACATCAGGTATGTGATTTTTCAGAAGGGAGTTGAAGTTGCAAAGGAGATGGTGAAATTCAAGCTGTAAATGAACACAAAAATATTAGATACGTGTCAAAAATTCTGCAAAGAAAAGAATT